GAAAAAAAAAAAAAAAAAAGAATGTTTCATTCGTTATAATAACACACACACACAGGCATGCATTTACCAATACACCAGGCATACTCACTCTGAGTCCTGCGGCGGAGGCCGGGCAGCGGCGATAGCGGCTGCGGCACCCGGCGCCGTCTGTTTCTCCACCGGATAGCCGGACGACCTCGATTGGGCCAGAGACGCCATCGGCTCAAAACTATTACCGCCGACATCCTCGCGTCTAGGATCCAGCCAAGCAGCCGAAAAGCAGTCACCGGCATTGGTTCCCTGAAAATCCGACGGGAAACCGGCGGCGTCGCTCGACTCCGCCCAGCCGAACTCCCCGAGAACGCTGCTCTCCGCGTAATCGCTTCGTAGGAGGTAGCCATGGCTTGCGGCGACGTCGTCGTCGTCGTCAGCGGCGAGGCCTAGCGCCCAGCTCTGGTCCGGCGCCGTGACCGGATCCGCGTTCTCCGTCCCGGACATAGACGACACGAAATCAGGTGCAATCGAATTAAAGAGATACAAAAAGAAAGAAAATAGGGTTTTTTTTGTTTCCTTTTTTGGGGATTAGATTTGATTTTTGGTGTTGGTCTTTTTTGATCCCCTTTTTATAGCAGTTTGATTTGTGGGGTTGAAAAGGAGGGGTTTACTTGAGAGTGCGTCAATATATATTTTAAAATTAGAGACAAAATATACTCCACTGGCACTGACACTGGCGCATGAGCTATTTGCAAATCTGGTTTTATTCGCATTTTTTGAGAGTTTGTGCCACCTCGATTTATAAAAATATGTGATTGCGACGTATGAAACTAAAAGGAAGGCCAGAACTCGATTCTGGATTAGTCGGTTCCCTTGTGAATTTGGAAACGGGAAGGTCTCTGTACCAAAAAAAAAAAAAAAAGGAAGGCCAGAAAGGTAATTGGGAACATGATAGAAAATGAAATCACCAAACCGTGTTTGGCCATTTGGAGGGCCTTCTCGAAACCAAATTTTTTCGATGTTCCTTTTTGTACATTTGGATTTTTACCATTATCTTGTATGTTTTGCTGATAAGGTTGTTTAGAGCTTTTACGAAGAATTTCGAGCTTATTTATGGTAGTTTATGACTTAGGGTTGAAAAGTTGAAATGTTAGGTTATATTGTAAAACAAAAATTCCACAAAACCATCGGCGGATAGTTTTCTTATAGAGTCATCCATCACTTTATAATTATTATCTCATGGCACGAGTTAGATACTAGTTTTTAATATGGTAAACAAAAGTTACAATCTTTTGTCGAACTTTAGATTCTTGGCCAAAATTAGCTTTAAATGGTTAACTCGAAGTACCATGGGATAAGGTTATAAGAATTGTTAAACTCTCATTGAGAAATAGACTTGGGCCTAGTGCACGTAGACATGGATAAAATGGGTTTTGGGCGTGGTTTATGTCAGAATCATTGGTTCTAGGCCAAGAGTCCGACCGACCAGGGGCGGAGCCACCTAAGGCTAGGGTGGGCTCCAGCCCCATGTAATTTTTTGCTACCCTTATTTTTGCTAATTCTATTTTCTAAAAAAATTTATACATAGACCCATTAGCCCCATGTAATTTATTATATAGCCCCATTTAATTTTTGGACTGAATGACTCACGATTATTTTCATGTTAAAATTTGTTATTTGATAACGATGGTGGAAAAATGATGATTATAGTGAGGAAAAAAGATAATTCTTTATTGTCAAATGACAATTGTGACCTTATTAGATTTTTATCAATTGATTTTATAATGTGGCCCAACACACTCTTGTCTTTTAAATTTTTAATGGGTTGACTTGACAAATATCAAATGAGCTGAATAATTAAGCTTGATACAGACTTTTCTAGCAGACTATTTAATTCGATTCGTCTCATTCCACAGTCCGTTATCCATTTTCATTTATTTATTTTTCTTTCGCCTCCAATAATTAATCGACATCATTTCCTAGACAAAGAGTAAACTCGTACAGAGTTGATTGCAAACATGTTCGACTTTATTTGTTTGATCGACAAGTTCGAGTAGTTATTTGAGTTTGACTTGTTTAAATATATAAGCGATTCGAGATTGAATTTTTCCAATTCAAACTGACATATGTTAGCAGATAATTTGTTTATAATTATAAACCAAAATCAGTTACAGGCCAAAACAGTCGATACCGGGCCGAGAGTTGGAGGACCCTGAACCGACGCGAACATATGTACGGGTCGGTTCATTGAATTGTCGATTACTGGTCGTCCGGTTCATTAAAAAAATACAAAATAATTAGAATAATATTTAAAAAAGAAAAACAAACCTCGGGTTCCGGTTCAAGTTCGGAACCAAAACTGCATGTTCAAAATATATAAACTATAAAGTATTGTACATGAACCGAACTGGTCAAAACCACCGGTTTGTTCAAGACCCATGGTCAACGGGTCTGCTTGTGTCGGTTTGGGCCGAACCGACATGCTGGGTCGGCCCATGACCATGTCTACAAAGTTCCAATAATAGCTACAACAATATGCAGCCCCAGGTTAAAAAAATTCCTGGCTACGCCCCTGAGTCCGACAGTCATAAACCGGCCCGAACATATAGACTTACCGATTCGGTGAACAACCAGTTCCAAGCCAGTTCGGGAAACCACCGGTTCCAGACCAGCCCGATTGACTAAAACAATAAAGATTTCGATTCGAAACAGGCCAAACGATTCATAAGTACACATATGTGGCTCGGTCAAACTATGGATTCGGTTCAAGGCCCTCGAAATTTCCCCCAAGTTTAACAAGCTATAGAGTTAGGCTTTTATAACTTGCTTAGTGAACATCTACACTTGACATCATGTATGTGATGCAAAAAAAAA